GCGGGTAGTTGTTGACATCTGTTTAGGGGAGTCTGTTCTAAGTTAGTAAACCAGCTTTCCAGAGTCAGTCGTTGAAAATAGTCAGTGCTGTAGGTTAGGCATTGCGCAGAGTCCCAGTCAATGTTGTGGTTGGTAAGTCGATGGTGTTCAGCAATGTGATTGCTGACATCACCTTTCCTCGTCGCCCGTCTGTGTTCAGTCAGTCTTGTTGTGAGGTTTCTGCCAGTCTCACCGATGTAGGAGGCTTGGCAGTCGGAACAATTGATCTTATAAATCGTTCCCTGTCTGTTCCTCGGTTCGTCACCGAGGTGAACCAACACCGACAACAGTCCTTTTCAGGACTACACTCACCCGGACGATCAGACTACACCTTCACAATTTTGTTTGTATGTGTGTGTCAATTTTGTTACTGATATTCTAAAAGTCAAAAACATGTCTTTCATTGCTAGTTCTTTAATTTTTAAGGGTGTAGACAGAATAAAAATGATAACCTAATAAAAAGATTATTTTAAGGACGTCGTATCGTTTGCGCTATTTGTGTCAATAAGGCTCATGTAACAGTGTTGACTGAACGCAAGTCCCGTGACATAAGTACGAGCGTTGCACAATTCCTCCAAAAACTCTTAATTTTTGGGAAAAAAAAATATAGCTAACAAAGCAAAAAATATTGAAAGACTGTTTTTGGTCTAAATATGTTGATGAAATTCGCTCCAAATGATTTTAATGTGTTAACGTGCTGATTTCGTATGCGTGCTAATTTTGTTCTTGATCTTCGTGTAATAACTTTGTCAATACATGCTAACATACTCATATTGATCAGGACCGTATATCACCATAGCGTGAACAGGTGATTTTCCCATGCTGATCATGTTAAAACGTATACAGTTAAATCAATATTAATATTAATACACATTACCCGTAGAAAAGTTCCCAGTAGCGGAAGACATCGATTAAAAAATGAGTTTCTACTTTTAGTTAGAATTTCGAAAATGGCTGCATGTGTTTACCGTCTCATAGGGCGCCAGACCTAAAACTCAACATAACGCACTCAAGTAGCGTTGAGTTCCAAATGTAAATCAAAATAATTTGCCGACGCGGTTTCGGTTCGCAGACGACGCAAATTTTGGTGATATCACGTTGTTGTTTTGCAAAGGACAGCTAAGAAATGTACAAAGTTTTCAAACGCACGTACTGGGCTCTTGTTCTGCCAATTAGATCTATTGTTTTTCCACGTTCTCATTGCCGTAGCCGTCGTGGTTTGCTTAAAGTCCCTAGTATTAGACATTGCACGCGAGTACCGCATTTTACAAATACTTGCGTATTTTCATTTTCTAAGTGGCGATGCATGCACCTCTGATCTAGCTATTTCAAATCAGACGCAACCTTTCTTATCAGCAATTTTCAAGACATATGTGACTGTATGGGGATGATCTGCTGAACAGGGTATGCTTTTTCAAGGTTCGCGAAGGGTATCCTACTCAACTTTATTTCCCACTTTGTTTCAGTTTCCATTAATACTCAGGGTCTCAGTTTCCATTCATACCCAGGCTATACATATACTAAATGGACGTTAAATTATTAACGCTATCCAACATCGATCCTACAGGGATATAAAGCTAGGTGCTCATCCGGACAGGTTCTTAGGAGTACAACCAGTAGCGGATGTAGAAAAAAATCAAAATAGGGGGACTTTTCTTTAATTGAGAGCAAAAGCACTCATTCTTTTGGGATAGGCATTGTTATTCGTATTGTAATTCATGTGGTAGAGGGAGGGACAAGTGACCCCGTTCTACCTCCCTGTATCCACCCTTGCAAACATTAGGAAAGAGATAGAAAAAGGCTCAGAAAACTCAGAAAAACAAAACATTTATACAAGTACACTTTTTATTAGCGAAAATTAAGAAACCTATTTAAGAACCTAGCGAGCCTGATTTTCAGTCAAGCACCATTTATATAGAAACCTGTTCAAGCTGACTTGAAAAAAATCTAGGTTCTCTGAACAAGAGGTT